ACGAACAACACACACACACACACACCAATGCCCATAGAAGGTCGGTCGGAGAGAGGAGGGCCGGCTATGGGTATGGGTGCGGGTTGTCGGGCCCTGGAGGAGCCTCCCGTTCGAGCGGGGACCCCCATCCGACAACACGCGCCCATAGCCCCCTCCGTCCCCCCTATGTGGGCCATACTAGTCCTATATGTCCTCCTGGGAGGCGCGCGTCCGACCCAAACATATAGCAGACCCATCTGGTAGTATATCGTTTCCCGAGCGGCGTGGCCAGAAAGCGCCCGCAACGACGCACATACTGGAAGATTCCTCGGTACGCGCGTCGCGTCAGTGGGGGTGACGCACACACTGTGTTCAAGCTGGGGTGACGCCGACTACGGGCATGGGTGCGTGATGCCCGCTCGTCAGTGGAGCGAGGAACCTGCGTCACCAGCTGGCCCGGGTCGTTCACCATCTGGCTGCCCCACGAGTGGCTGGTGACCTCCACGTCCCGCTGCACGCCCACCCGGAGCCTCCCGCGGAGCAGGTCCCTCCCCTCCTCGTCCGGCACCCGCGGTGGGCTGGCCACGCGCGAGGCACTGGTGGAGGGCCAAGGCCGGTCGGCGACGCGCTCAGGGAGGAGGAGGAGGAGGAGGAGGAGGAGGAGGAGGAGGAGGAGGAGGAGGGAGGAGGAGGAGGAGGAGGAGGAGGGGGAGGAGGAGGAGGAAGAGGGAGGAAGGAGGAGGAGGAGGGAGGAGGGCCGCGGGGGCGGGCCGCCTCCGAGGGCTCCGAAGGCGCCCGCGCCCCCCCCCCCCGCGCGAGGCCGCGGGCGGCCTCTCCGGGCAGGCCGGGCGGGCCCCGTGGGAGCCCCCGCCGCCCTCCGAGCAGGCCCGCCCCCCCTCGGCGCCCCCCCTCGGCGCGCCGCCGACTCGTAGGGCGACGAGATCTATGCATATCCACTGCTCCTGGCCAGGCCCATCCTGGGCCCAGGAGCGGTGTATATGCCTCCCTTGCCAAGCCAGGGGGGCGTATACACAGCTCTTGGGCCCAGGATTGGCCTGGCCGAGAGCAGTGGATATGTATAGATATCGTCGCCATAACTCGTAGGACCTCGGGCCGGGCGACGGGGGGATTTTGGGCGAAAAATTCACAAATAGTCACACACACCAAAAAAAAAAAGCAGAGCCAAAACATCGCCTCCGATCATTGTTGGACTATTTCTGAATATTCCCCCGTGTAGAGGGACCCGACTTAACTCGGCGGTGGACAAACCTCCCTGTAGCAAACCTCCCCTTAGTGAAGACGGCCTGGGGCCGAAACCGACGGACCTGGACCCGCAAAAAGGACGGCCGCGGCGCCCTCTCGCGAACCGAAAACGGCCAATTCCTTAATCGACGTGTCAGGGTAGGAGGTCTATCCACCTCCGAGGGGATCTGGCCATCGCTCGGACGTCGGGTGTCGCTTTTTCGCCGAAGGATCAAGGATGCTCCTCGATGGTCCTCGCCGAAGGAGAAATGCACACGTCCCAGCGATGCCAAGGGGATAGCAAAGGGGGGGGTGAGAATCAGCTCACGTAGCTGACTTTCCCGGTGCCTCCCGGCGCCGGGAGGCGCCCATGTGTCGAGGAATGGGCCCGGCGGCGGGGCCACAGCCAGCTGCATGCAGCCGATTTCGTACCCCCACCCTTTCCCTATTCCCCCCCTTCGTCCGGCCCGAGAACCCCATGTGGACCGCGGCGGGAAACCCCTGAACCCCAACAAGGTCAACCGGCCAGCACATGGTTTTCGGGGGCGCGCAAGCATGGATCGGCGATCCATGGATTTGGCGCGCGGTCGACAGATCCATGGACTGGGGGAGGTGCCGTCCCCAACATGCGGCCAGTGCCGCTTCGCTCGGCGGCGGAAATCCGCGATTTCCCATGCAAACGGGACCCGTCGCCAATCCACGCCCACTTGATCCATGTTTGCGATCGCCTGAGATTTGTCTCCGCCGGCTTCCCCTGGCCAGCTGCCCCTACAACAAGAGGTCCACCCCATCGGTCCCTCTTCTGCCTCTGGGAGGCTCTGACTGGCGGTCCCTGGGCCTCCCCTGCCCCTTCGGGTGGAAAACCGACCGCGGGTCTAACCCATCGATGAGCTTCTTGTTCAAGTCGACGAGCCCTTGTTGGCGGCTTGCAAGTGCCTGCCATCGCTCGGACGCCCATCCCACGTGCCTTGTTCGGTTTCGTGCGTGCATTTTTGCTCCAAGATGCTGCCCGATGGTTCTCGCCGAGAGAAATCCACACGTCCGAGCAATGCCAAGTGCTCTGGAGGTCATCTGTGCCTGCCTGGGAATCCTGGAGACACCTTTGGCCAGGGGCACCTCTGCCAACACCCGAGACAGACAAGCAGGTGCGGCTAGGGGGGCGGCCTTATTGGAAGGAAGAAGCAGGAGGAGGAGGAGGAGGAAGGAGAGGAGGGGGAAAAGGAGGAGGAGGCGGAGGAGGAAGAGGAGGAGGAGGACTACGGCAAACTCGGGCTGCAGCAAAAAATGCGCCAATCAATGCTCCCGTCCTAAATCCCTACAGGCCTTCCTTGTCATCGTCATTACAGGAAGCGGCCCATTGAAAAATCACCGCCGTGTGGGCCTGTCATTCAGACAAAATCTTCCGTTTTGAAAAAGAACTGTCGCCCATTATTCTGAGCACTTCATTCGAAATCCGCCGACGGCGTGTGTGAGGTCCGTTCGAGTCGTCGTCTCCGTCATTCGCTACTCGTCTTCTCTATCGTCTCCTTTCCATGGAGCGCTCATTTCCCTGGGCCCGTCGCCGCTCCCCCCCTTTCCTTAGGCCCTCCTCCTGAAGCGCGCCAGATAATCCAGTCGTCCAAGGGAAGCCCCTTCCCCTTGGTCCCTCCCCCGCCAGGAGAGGGGGGGTCAAGGGGGGTGTCCGGGGAGGTCCTCGGAGGGGTCGCCACCCAAATGCGTCTCCTCCCCGGGGGGTCCTGGGTCCGAAAAAAGCATCAGGACGGGGAAGAGTGCCCGAAGAGGCCCCCAAGACAGTCCAAGAGGGCCCAGGATCGCTGAATGATCTGTCCAAGACGGCTTGACGGCCTCCAGAGGGCCCATGAAGCCTGCAAGACGCCCCAAGAGGCCTCCAGGAGCACTTCCAAGAAGGCCCCAAGAGGCAAAATTCACTGCCTCTTGACCAAGGGGGCCCCACGACGGCCCGAGACGCCTCCGAGACAGGCCAAGAGGCACCCAAATCGGCTCCAAGGGGGTGCCCAGACGGGGGGCCCGACTGGACATCTCGAGCCCTCGCCCCCGAGAGGCTCTCTTGAGGGGGGCCCCAAGAGGCTTCCAAGACGACCCCAAGAAGCCCCCAGGAAGCCCCTGGAGGCCCCCCCGAGGCTCCCAAAAGGCCCCCCAAGAGTCTCCCGAAACGCCCCCAAACTGCCCACCTGACGCCCCACTTAAGGCCCCAACCTTACGTCGACCTCTTCCTCCCCATATTCCTCCTTCTCCACCTGCCCCTTCTCGTCCCCCTCCTCCGCGTCTTCCTTCTTCTCCTGCTCCTCCGACTCCCGTTCTCCTCGTCCTGATACCTACTGTTCATTCCATCCCCCCGTCCTCCCCCTGCCCCTGCTCCCCATCCGCATCCTCCTCCGTTTCCTGCTTCTGCTCCTGCTCCTGCTCCTGCTCCTTCTCCTCCTCCTCCTCCTCCTCCTCCTCCTGCTGCTACGCCGCGTCCTCCTCCTCCTCCTCCTACTCCCCCTCCTCCTCCTCCTCCTCCTCCTCCTCCTCCTCCTCGTCCTCATCGTCGTCGTCTTCAGGGTCGGCGGCACCAGCCGCAAGGCCTTCACAATACGACAAGCCAGGACCACAAAGTCCAGCGAGGTGCACAACAAGAGTCCCGCTTTAAAAAGCAAACGCGGAACATCCGTGTGAGTGTTGCACAAGTGATCAAAACTCTCGTGGTGTTCGTCTTCCCCCCCCCCATCTCGGACAGTTCCCAATCTGTTCTGGGGGATCGACAATCACGTGTGTCTATGTGTGTTGCTTTCCCTCCTGACGAACAGAAGAACCACCCTCAGAATAAGCACCCCGACAAGCGAAGCCGATGTAGTAAACGTACCCAAGGAAGGAATCGGACAGGACAGGGCTGTCCAACGCCCAGGGGTGGACAGGGAACAGACAGGGAACGGATAGCACTGAGCTGGACAGGAGTTGATGGGAAACGCCAGGGGCAGCTAGTACACGCCAATTATGGAGACCAGGGTGTTTTTTTCCTCCTGCGAATGAATCGGCGGCGAGTGAGGGGGGGGGGGGACAAGCTAGGTTCGCTCGCGTCATATCTGATGTCAGTCCCCTCCCTCCCATCCCTTACCATGGCGTAGATCTCCTCTTTATTCGCACAGTCGGATGTCGTAGCATAGCATAGAATCAATCATATGGCATGGCATGGCATTGAATGTCAACGCGAAGCATGACATGGCATGGCGTGGCGACGCCCCAAAGTGGGGCGGCCTTCTGCGGCCAAACAATCAACGAGCCGAATGCGTAATCACTTCCGATGTTTTTTTGTTGGGGGGGCATGTTCTAGATTTTGGGGCCTATTTAGAAAGGCCGGAAACCATGCCGTGGCATGGAACTCGAAATAATGACGCCAACGCTGCAGCGGGAGCACGATTCGGAACGAGTGGAAGCGCGGAAATGAGGCCAACTCTGAAGCGGGAGCACGATTCGGAACGAGCGGAAGCGCAGAAATGAGTCCAGCGCTGCAGAAGGAGCAACATTTTCACCGGAATCCTGTGCGTAAGCAAACAGTGCGCGCAGGGGGGGCAGATACCTTCTGGACGTCATCAGGTGAGAGAGGAGAGTAGTATACATATTGTGCAGCCGTGAAGGAACAGGTCTTCTCAGAAGGCGGCGGGGCTTCTCAGAAGGCCTGCGGCCTTCTGAGAGGCTTTCTGTGTCTTCGGGGAAAGCTCGGAAAACTCTCAGAAGGCCGGGGAACTTCCAAGCCTCCTGAGAACGCCCGCCCCTTCTCACCTCCCCCCTGGCTCGCCGCTGAATGGAACAGGGCACCCCGCTCCAAACGGGACCTCTCGCCCGGGCTCCATCCTGACAGCTGCCTTAAGCCGCGTCCAGCCGTGGCGGCGAGAACCTCCAGAGGTGCCCCAGAGCCCTTCGGAGGCGACAGAGCCGTCGTCCTCGCCGTCGCCCTCGTGGTTCGTGCGCCGCCGACCGTCGTCAGTCGCGAGCGTGTAGCCGTTCTTCACGCGCAGGTAGCCGTGCCTCTTGTTCCCGAGCGCCGCGGCCAGGTCTCGCAGGCACTCGATCTGGCGGGCGGCCACCTGCGGGAGACTCCCGCTGCAACCACCAGCCCAGCCCTCTCCTGCCCCTGCGACCCTCCTCCTCTACCTCCCTCACACACACACTCTCTCTCTCCTCCTCCTCCTCCTCCTCCTCCTCCTCCTCCTCCTCCTCCTCCTCCTCCTCATATAACCTCTCCGTCATTACCGCCTTTAGTCTGCAGCAAGGTTCTGCTGGCAATGTCAGCGCTCAAGATCGTGCGCAAGCTGCAGCTGCGGAATTCTTCGACTCTCGGCTCATCAAGAGAAGGGTACATCCCGATAGTGGCTCTCTTGTCTCTCAGCGGCCTCGTGAACGCGGGCCTATCGCTGCTGCGCCTGCCAAACTGGACAAGTCGGCAAGGGTACGAGGAGCACATGCTCGACAAGGGTACGAGCAAATGCACACCCGAGGCTCTTCACTGGGCCGTGATTTGCAGGCCCAGAGGCGATGCTCGGACGTATCTGGCCCTCGGGCGTTGCTGAATGGGGGGGCGAAAGATGAGGGGCGGGGAGGGGGAAACGTGCACCTGTTCCTGCCGCACTGTGGGCCCCAAGGCGCAGAAAAGAACCTCTCCTCTGCGCCCTGGAGCCCAAAAGATCAACAGTAAATGGGAGGGAAGAGAGGGGGCACACAAGGTGCATGGCACAAAAGGTGCACCTCTCCTCCCCCCCCCCTCCTCCGCCTCCTCCTCCTCCTCCTCCTCCTCCTCCTCCTCCTCCTCCTCCACCTCCGCCTCCGCCTCCGCCTCCGCCTCCGCCTCCGCCTCCGCCTCCTCCTCCTCCTCCTCCTCCTCCTCCTCCTCCTCCTCCTCCTCCTCCTCCTCCTCCTCCTCCTCCGCCTCCGCCTCCGCCCCCGCCTCCGCCTCCGCCTCCGCCTCCTCCTCCTCCTCCTCCTCCTCCTCCTCCTCCTCCTCCTCCTCCTCCTCCTCCTCCTCCTCCTCCTCCTCCTCCTCCTCCCCCCCTCTTTAGCGCCCCGCCATAACGACGCAACGCCTGAGGCCCTCCGCTCCACCGCCCTGCCAGTGCCGCTCCCGCCGCTCCGGGCCAAAAGGGCACCGGCAGGGACACCCGCGCGGGCGGGGGTTGCTAAAGATGCCCCTGGCCCCAAGGTGCCCCCAGCTTCGCGCTCAATTTTGGAGCCCCGGGGGCCCCGTGGGCCTCGCGAGGGGTGCCTCTGGGGGCCGTCTGGGCCACCCCGAGGATCCTGGGGGCGGGCGCCTGTGGCCAGGGGCACGTCTGGCAGCGCCCGGCGCAGAGGTCGGGGGCAGAGGTCGGGGGCGAACATCCCGTGCGGGGAGCCATACGTGCATCCAGGGGTGCCGATGGTCCATGCGCGGCTCCTGGGCGACTGCGTGTAGCATGCCCGCGCCCGGGCTATTCGTGCGGGATCTCATGCCACCAGGAACCAGGAACCAGGAGGAGGAGAAGGAGGAGGAGGAGGAGGAGGTGGAGGAGGAGGAGGAGGAGAAGGAGGAGGAGAAGGAGGAAGAGGGCAGGGGGCAGAGGACCTTGCCTGCCGGCCGAAAGCGCCGCGCCGCGGACGCCGCACACGGGCCAAGGTTGCCCTGGTGCGCGCCCGCGGCCGCGGCCGTGGCCGAGGCGAGGGCGGCCGCGGGGCGGCCCCGAGAAACGTCGGCGGCGTCTGCGCTCGTCCTCCTCCTCCCTCCTCCCTCCTAACCCCCTCCCCCCTCTCCCCTGCGGTCCGACGTGGCGAACCAGTTTTGGTAGTCCCCAAACGTGGTGGTGACAACACCTGGTGGTGAGTCTCGGGCGATTTGGTGTCACCACCCGGTTTGGGGACTCGTGCGGTTTTCCGAGGATGTCCCGGACACTGGCTGGCCCAGGAGTCACAAAACCCGGTGGTGACCCCGCGTCCCCAAACCCAGCGGTGACCTTTTTGGGGATTCCAGGTCGCCACCTGGTATCTCACCACCCGGTTTGGGGGTTCCCAACAGCTGCCGCATCGTAGAGCTCACGCCCGGAGCCCCAGGCCCCACCTCTTTCTGCGTCACGCTTCGCCCCCGGGAAAAAAAAAGCAAACGCCCAGCTCGAAGGAACTGAGACGCCAGGATCTCATGGGTCGGGGGGGGGCACGTGAGAGGAACTTGAGCCGCGCGTGCCGCCTGCGCGGCAGGCAGCGCAGGCGTGCGGGTAGGTGACGGCGCGGACGACGAGAAGGACGAGGAGGACGAGGAGGACGAGGACGAGGAGGACGAGGAGGACGAGATTCCAATGCCTTAATTAGTCGGATGTGTTTTTTTCATGTTGATGTTCTCAAACGTAGATAACGATTTCAAAATCATCTTCCTTGGAATTCGCGTGTCATTTGTGCGTGGTGGTGTATTCGTAAATCGAAGCGGAACTCTTTCTGAACCACGTGTCGCGCTCGAATCCTGCCCGGAGGACGAGGAGGACGAGGAGGACGAGGACGAGGAGGGGCAGCGCCCGATCCTCCTCGCCGCCCTCGCGGTCTCGCTCCCTCTGCGCGGCGCTCCGGCGGCCTCGCGCGGGCCGCGGCGGGGCCGCACTCGGACCCCCCCCCTATGCGGCTGCGCCGGAGCCCCCTGCCGGCCCCTGGCGCGCGGAGCGCAGGAAGAGGCCTCCCCGGCGCCGATCCCGAGAGAAAAGTCCGCGCGGCGCTCCGAGAAGAACCTGTCGGTCTGCGCCGCTCTGCCCCGCTCGGCACAGCCGAGGCGCCAGGATCGGCGGAGATGCCGCGGCTTCCTCTTCGGTCCTCCTCCCCCGCCCCCCTCGTCCTCCTCCTCCTCCTCCTCCTCCTCCTCCTCCTCCTCCTCCTCCTCCTCCTCCTCCTCCTCCTCCTCCTCCTCCTCCCTCCTCCTCCTCCTCCTCCTCCTCCGTGGCTCCCCTCGTCCTCCCCGTCCCTCCCGGAGGGGGGGGGGGGGGCGCTCACGCGCGCACCTCGGCTACCACGCAGGAGGGACCCGGGGCAAGAGCGGCCCTCGGCGCAGGGCTCCGTGGAGGCCGCGGGGGGACCAGACCCAGGCTCGCAAGACGCCGCTGCCGCCTCGCGTTCGGCGGTGTGGGGGGGGCCCCGATCTCGCCATCGCTAGGACGTCCATTCCCTGTGTTTTTTTTTCGATGTCGCGCGTGGCTTTCTCGCCAAATCATTGAGGATGCTCCTCGATGGTCCTCGACGAAGGAAAAATGCACAGGTCCGAGCGATGCCAAGAGGCTCGCAAGACGCCGCTGCCGCCTCGCGTTCGGCGGTCGGGGGGGCCCCGATGAGCCCTCACCAGAGGTCGCTCTGGCGAAGGGTCACTCTTGCGTCTGGTCGAGCCCTGGCCCCGTCAGCGCAGCCCGCGTGCGACCCCCGGCATGGGACCTCCCTGCAGCAGAGAACCCGGGGAGGCAAGGATGCACGGGCACCCTTGGGAGGGATGCCCATCCTTACTGCGGTCGGGCTGCTGGAAGAGGGAACGAGAAACGAGGAGCGAGGCCCCTGTTTGGCCCTACAAAGCGCCTGCGGGCACGAGGAAGGCCAGGGGAGAAGCCATAGAAGGACCGAAGGCATGTCGAGCCCCTTTCTTACCCAAACTCCTCCTCCTCCTCCTCCTCCTCCTCCTCCTCCTCCTCCTCCTCCTCCTCCTCCTCCTCCTCCTCCTCCTCCTCCTCCTTCCTCCTCCTCCTCCTCCATTCCTCCCTCCTCCCTCCCTCCTCCCCCTCCTCCCCCTCCTCCTCCTCCTCCTCGTCCTCCTCCTCCTCCTCGTCCTCCTCCTCCCTCCCTCTCCTCCTCCTCCCTCCTCCTCCTCCTCCTCCTCCTCGTCCTCCTCGTCCTCCTCCTCCTCCTCCTCCTCCTCCTCCTCGCCTCGCGCCGCGGCGGGGGGGGGCCCAGATCCCCCTGGGCTGCAGGGAACGGAGGGCCCGCCATCGCTCGGCCGTCCATCCCCCGTGCAGCAGTCCGCACGGTGCACCAGTCCGCACGGTGCTCCAAAAGGTGCTCCTCGAGGGTTCTCGCCGAGAGGAGAAAAGGCACACGTCCAAGCGATGCCGAGAGATGCCTGGCTCCGGGGGGCGAAGGATGCGGGAGATGGGCGGGCACATCTGAGCCCTACCCCGACCAGTCCACGCCATGGAGGAGGCCCTCAAAACTGGCGGGGATGCAGAAATCGCAAGACCACAACCACGAACGAGCGAAGTGAACGCCTTCTGGTGAAGCCCTTCCGATCCAACTCGATGGGCGGTGGGGATAGGGCTCAGATTTCGCCACTGAGGAGAGGGCTGTATTTGAGTCTCTCGACGCCTGGCCGGTTCTGATCACGTTCCCCTTCGCGCTGGTAATGGGGGCAAAATAGTTCCGATAAAGCGTGCCCGCCCCACAGGCTATCGCGCAACACGGACCCTGCGTCCTGTCCTGGACGTAGCCTGTGATGCCCTCCTCGGGTGTCACGTCTGAGTGAACGAACTCCAAGCAATTCAGCTGGGAAGCAACCTGGAACACCGCGTACCTGTTCTCCTTCCTGCGGTGGAACTCGGCGACATCCCCAATTACATTCCTCACGCCCGTGGTACCCTTCAACTTCGCTTTGTCCACTGCACCTGCATCCTGCAGCCTCAGCGTAGCTTCGCGTCTGAGCTCCTCTAGACTGGGGGTGGTGAACTCCCCGATAGAATACTTGCGGTTGTTGGCGCGCGAATACAACATGCCGCTCTCGACAGAAATCCGCCGAGCCCCTCTTGTTGGGGGCGGCCAAGATGGGGGCGTGCAAGAGGGGGGGGGACGCAAATCATGCCCGGCGGCATGTGCGCGGCCCGGTGGAAGGGCCAGGGACGTAATGAAATAAGAAGAGGCGCCATGAAATCTGGGGAAATATCATGGCCCACGCCATGATATCCACCCCCCCAAAGTCACCACCCCTCTCTTTGCCGCCCCCGATCTTGCTGTGGATGAAAATCCATATCCCGGGACTTCGAAACCTCCAGATCCATCCTCTGTGGCCTCCAAGCTGCGCAGAACGCATTCGACAACGGCTCACGAAGGGCTCCACAACGCGCCGGAGAGGCCTCAAGAATCCAACCCGCCCTTTCGTGCGCGAGTGGTTTGGAGCGTTTCCTCTTTCACCCTCCCGTTTTCATCCTCGGAAGGAGGAGGAGGTGTATCACTGTTCCCTCTTAAGACGCATCCCATCCCCGACACCCAGGACGAATGCGACACCCATGCCAACAACCCCCCCCATCCCTGCCAAACGACAAAAGACAATACACTTCGCCTCCAAGTCTGGAGCATGCACAGTCGCCCCACGATCACTTCGCATGGATTTTAGACAGGGACGGTGGGGAGGGGGGGCAGCATATTGCCTGATGCGTGCAATGCCAGCTCTCCCCAACCTTCCCTTGCAAAAAACGATGCATACCAAAACCTGAATCATGCGCAGACCCCTCGTGTTTACACTGCACTAGCTTTTTAACAAGGATGGCGGGGGTGCTGGCATACTGGCTGCTGTGTGCAGGCCCACCATCCCTTTCCAAAGGACAAAGATACACAAGCTCACATTGCCTGGGACGGCGGGGGGGGAAGCGGCATGCTGCCTGCTGCGCGCAGGCTCACCAAACAAATGCAGGGCGATCGTGAGCTCACACCCGCATGCAAGAAACCCGCAGTCGCTTTGCTGTGGTTTGTAATAGGGACGGCGATGGTGGGAGAGTCGACATCGTGCCCAGTGTTGCGCACCTGGAACGCGTGGCAAGCATGTGCGGTGCACCTCGCGGGCTTCGCGCACCTGCCTGGCGTCTGCATTCGTTCCCGATCGTTGTCAATGGCAGTCCCTGTCCATGCTGAAACTCAGGTGCTACTTTTGTGTTGAGAGGGTGGGTGGGAATGAACGAGACGGCTTGTTGCTTGTGGGTAGCTTGACCCCACCCCCTACTCCCTCCCCTGGACCTGAACCTGGACGGGGTGGGGCTGCGGGTCGTTGGAGCGTCCAAGAAGTCCTCGGCGAGAAGGCAAACATCATGGATGTTCCTGAGGCGTTGGCTAATTGTTGGCCTCATGGAGGGGCTAGTTGGGGGCCCTCCCGTCTTTGATTGAACTCCTCCAAGATGGCCCCAAGATTGCCCCAAAGGCTCCCAAAAGTGCCCCGAAGAGGTCTCCAAGAGGCTCCAAAAGACCCTGAAGAGAACCCAAGAGGCAACCCCCAAGCACCCAAGACGCTCCAAGAGTTTCACGGGACCGCCAAGAGGCCCCAAAGACGCCAAAAAGAGAACTCAAAGAAGCTTTCAAGAGACATCCGGAGAGACTCCGAGAGGCATTCAAGAATCCACTTGCCTTTCTGCTTGCTCTCCTCCCTCCTCCTCCTCCTCCTCCTCCTCCTCCTCCTCCTCCTCCTCATCAGCAGCAGCAGCAGCAGCAGCAGCATCAGCATCATCATCATCATCATCATCATCATCATCATCAGCAGCATCATAGTCATCATCATCAGTATCAACAACATCATCCTCATCATCACCATCATCATCATCTTCATCATCAACAACATCATCTCACCATCATCATCATCATCATCATCATCATCATCATCATCATCATCATCATCATCATCATCATCATCATCATCATCAGCATCGTCATCATCATCATCACATCACATCATTATCATTATCATCATCATCATAATCATCATCATCATCATCATCATCATCATCATCATCACCATCACCATCACCATCACCATCACCATCATCATCATCATCATCATCAGAATCGTCATCATCATCATCATCATCATCATCATCATCATCAATCATCATCAATCATCAATCATCATCATCATCATCATCATCATCATCATCATCATCATCATCATCATCATCATCATCATCATCATCATCATCATCATCATCATCATCCGCCTACTCCTCCTCCTCCTCCACCTAGTGGGGTATGGCTGCTTCCTAAAATTCTTACTTCACTGCATGTTCCTCCACATCTCTGACCAGGGCAACTCGCCTGTGCGTTGTTTCTGGATGGGCTGCTGGTGTTACGCGAAGCGACTGGAGTATTCAAGATAAGCCTGATGGCGGCCGAGAAGGCTCCGAAGACTCCCACAGAAGGCCCCAAAAGGAATATGGGCGGTCTCAAGAGGGACAAATGATCGACTTCCTGTAAATTTTTGAGCGGCTATCGCGTTCTCGCCTTCTTGAGCTTCTGAAAGACCAAGACGGCCCGAGGGGCAACCCCAACTGGCCCCAGACGGTTCAAGAGGCCCACAAGAAAGGCCGAAAAACCATAGGATGGCCCCAAGAGGAGCCCAAGAGGGGAAACTCGTTGGGCCTCCAGCAACCCTCCTCCAAAAGATGGCCCGCGAGGCTCCCGACGAACCAGCTTGATGCATATCCCTATCAATGAGGTTGACAAGCCCAAAGTCGATGACAATCTTAGGGATGCGCCCTCGGAGACTGCGGGAATCTTTACGATCGGCATGGAGATAGGGCGATGCCAATCCTAACGATAGGGAGATATATTCAATATATATATATATATATATATATATACATATCAGGCTGGTAGCCAACATGCCCCCACGAGAGGGCCCCAAGAGGGCCCGAGGAAGACCCCATAGGGCCCCAAAAGATATTCCAGGCCCGCAAGGAGGCTCCGCCACCGACGCTGGGAAAGAGGATGACGAAATCAGCAACAACTACAGGTAAGGATGCGCGATAAGGATGCAAGGGCCTTGGCACGCCATGTTGACGTGTTTCCGTGGGGAGCGCAGCAGAATACCGAAGGATGCCGAATGCCGAAGGGGCAAGGATGCAAGGGTAGCCTTGGAAAGCTGTCCCATCCTTACTATCCTGGTTGACTGTACACGCTGGCAGCCCGACGGAAAGCTGCACAAGACGCACACGACATCGGAAGCCGCATATCTCCTCTTCTGGGGGACGGCCGTCTGGCGAAAGCCTCTTGGATATTTTGTTTCACGGCCTCCTGTGCCTCGAGAAAACCGAAGTGGTTTTCAAACCAACGAGAACCGTGTCCGAACGTCGCCATCACGGGCACGTGGACTATTCTTGCCACAGGGCTGACAATCACAAGACTCTGGTTTGGAGCCGAGATGGCTACAGTGAGTGGGGAGAACTCACGGGAAGGGAGAAGAACACATGGGGAGCCAGAAGCTCTGAAATCACCAGACCCCCAGCCGAAATAAGGTGGAACCAGGAACTGCAACTCGGACCTCAACAGGAATCTCCCCCGCGCCGCTCCGACGAATTTCCTTCCCACGGCGGGCATACGGGCGTGGCCGAACGTCGTTGCTGTCCTCATCCTCGTCTTTCTCCTCATCATGTTTCGGGGGCGCGTAAACATGAATTAGCGATCCATGGATTTGGCGCGCGGTCGTCAAATCCATGGACCGGGGGAGGTGCCCTCCCCGAGATGCGGCCTGCGCCGCCTCATTCGGCGGCGGAGATCAGATCCGCGACTTCCCATGGAAACGGGGCCGGTCGCCAGTCCACGTCCCCTTGACCCATGCTTGCGATCGCCTGGATGTTCGGTCGCGCGAAGGTATAAGCATGCACATGTGCACACGGCTATGTCTACAAAATTACCGCGCGCGTGCGCTTCGCGCCGTCGTGCTCGGGCGGCGGGCCGGGCGGCGCCCCTGTGGGGCAGCGGGTCGCGGCAGTTCGCTCTTTCTCGAGGCCCACCGGAGAAGCAGTCCGCGGCCGTAAGCAGATCGGCGGCACGTAGCTTGAACTTCCAGAGAGCTAAAACGAATCCATCCGGGCCTATCGAGGCGCTCGCTGAGTCGAGTTGCGGGGGCGGCAGGAGGAGGGGGAGGATGAGAAGGAGGAGGGGGATAAGGAGGAGGAGGAAGAGGAGGAGCAGGAGGAGCAGGAGAAGGGCGGGGTGGGGGGGGGGGCTGCCTACAACCTCAGCTGGAATGTGGACGTCGATGTCCTCGTCCCACTGAGCAGGGTGGGCGGCTCGGGGTTGATAAAGGGCGGGGGGCCGGGACATCACTTCGGGTGTAATCGTATTAGTGGATTTGTAGTAGTAGTAATAGTAGTAGTAGTAGTAGTAGTAGTAGTAGTAGTAGTAGTAGTAGTAGTAGTAGTAGTGGTGGTGGTAGTAGTAGTAGTAGTAGTAGTAGTAGTACTCGTAGAAGTAGAAGTAGTAGAAGTAGTAGAAGTAGTAGTAGTGGTAGTAGAAGTAGAAGTAGTAGTAGTAGTAGTAGTAGTAGTAGTAGTCGTAGTAGTAGTAGTAGTAGTAGTAGTAGTGGAGTAGGTAAGTAGTAGTAGTAGTAGTAGTAATAGTAGTAGTAGAAGTAGTAGTAGTAGTAGTACTAGTAGTAGTGGAAGTAGTAGAAGTAGTAGTAGTAGTAGTCGTAGTCGTAGTAGTAGTAGTAGTAGTAGTAGTAGTAGTAGTGTAGTAGTAGTAGTAGTAATCGTCGTAGTAATTGTCGTAGTAGTAGTCGCAGTAGTAGTAGTAGTAGTAGTAGTAGTAGTAGTAGTAGTAGTAGTAGGAGTAGTAGTAAAAGTAGTAGTGGTAGTAGTAGTAGTAGTAGTAGTAGTAGTAGTGGAAAGAGTAGTAGTTGTAGTCGTCGTCGTAGTCGTAGTAGTCGTAGTAGCAGTAGTAGTAGTAGTGCTCGTAGTATTAGTAGTAGTAATAGTAGTAGTAGTAGTAGTAGTAGTAGTAGTAGTGGTAGT